CTTTGTCAGAAACAAATCCACAGAATAGTGTTGCTAAGCTAAAAAGAGGATGACCTAATAAATATTTCAACAGACAGGGATGAAGTTTGATACAACAGGCTCAACAGTTGTAACACATGCACATTGCACAGAGATTGTTAAAGTTGGAGCACATGAATTTCACCATAAAGAAGGTCCATTTGTTGCCAAAGATGGGCGTTCTATGACTGCATTTTGGTTCAAACGATGCCTTCTGAATGGACAAGAGGTCAATCGTTCCTGGTTGGTGTATTCACTTCTACATAAAGTAGCATACTGCTTTTGTTGTCTTCTTTTGTTCATCTACATGTATGACATCCGATAGTCAGTCTGCTTTCAAAACACAGGGTGGATTCTCTAAGTGGGAAAAAAAAATTTAAAAGTTAAATGCCCATGAAAATAGTGACAGTCATTGTGAGTCATTTGCTGCTTGGAAAGAAACTGAGCACCGAATTCCTCTTCAAAGTGGCATTGATGAAGAGCTGCAAAGGCTAATTCAGCAAGAAAAAAATAAATGGAGAGATGAAATGTGACAGTTGCTGGATTGTACACAATATTCAGCTTCTCCGAATCTTGCATTTCATGGTCATACTGAGGACATAACCTCAAACAAGAACCCTGGAAATTTCCTGTCACTTTTGCAGTTATTAGCAAAGTATGATCCGGTAATGAGAGAGCATTTAGAGCGTGTTAAAAACAAGTAAACATCAACATCTTATCTTTCTCCTGAAATCCAAAATGAGTTTATAAATTTCATGGCTTCACATGTGCAAAATTATTGTCTGTCAGCAATTCATAGAAACAAATACTGTGGTATTCTGTTTGATTCCACACCTGATTTAGCCCATCATGAGCAACTGACCCAAGTGATTCGGTTTGTTGACATTGACTTTATACAGATAAAGGAAAAAGACGCTGCCAATATTGAGAAAATAATAAGCACAAAATTAGAAGCAGATGGAATTTTATTGAGTGATTGTTGTTCACAATATTATGATAATGCTGCTGTCATGTCAAGTCATTTGTCAGGTGTTCAACAAAGAATTCTGAACAAAAATCCAAAAGCAGTGTTTATAAACTGTGACAGCCATAGTTTGAACTTAGCATGTCTTCATGCTGCAAGTCAGGAAATAGCAGTTATTACTTTTTTTGGTATAATTGAAGCCATTTATAATTTCTTTGCTCATTCAACAACTCGATGGGACAAACTGCAGCAGGAGCTTAAGATCTCTGTCAAACGTGAATCAGCAACACGGTGGAGTGAAAGAGAAAATGCAGTAAAAGTTGTACATGAAAAAGTGGATGATTTGCTAAGACTGTTAGAGCAATTAAGTGAGAACGGCAACACGGCTGAAACAAAATGTGGTGCTCATAAGATTCTGCAACGCATGCTTACATTTGATTTTTTGTACTTTTGCATTTTTGGAGAAATATTTTATCTTTCAATCGAGTGCAGAAACGTCTTCAGGACCCAAAAATGAATTTTAGAGAAGCAGCTGCTGATCTTGATTCTTTGAAAAAGAAATTGATAGAATCACATGAAAAGTCCTGTCAAGAAGCACTTAAAGTGGGCAAGAATCAATGTGAAACATGGGTATTGACCATTGAAAGAAGAAAAATACGTCGTAAACGAATGCCAAGTGAAAATGCAGCTGATGCTGGATTGACTGCTGAACAGGAAATTTATCGCATCATGAGGGATGTTATCGATCGCTTGATTACAGAAATAACAGGAAGATTTTCTTGCTTACTAGATTTAGATTCATGGTTTGGATTTCTACTAGATGTGCAAAATATTGTTTCTGGAGATTTCGAAGACGGAAAATTGCAAGAAAAATTTTCTGACTTAGCAAAGAGCTATCTGGGTGATATTGATGGGCCAGAATTATACAGAGAACTTAAAGATTGTAGAATGTTGATAAGTAAAAGAACACAGACTGATTTTCCTGAACCAACGGTTGCAACTGATTTGCTAACATTTATAATTTCATATGGTGAAGGTTTTGTTCCCCAAATTTAAGAATTGCATTGTAGATTTTGTTAACAATTGG